CAGGGTAGGTAATTTCCATACACTGAGGGAATCTCCCTGCAGCTGAGAAGGATGAGGCACCACCACTTAAGCTGCTTTTTTCACATCTGAGAAAGACCCAGAGGGATAACCCACCCTTAGCTGGAAAAGGCAGAGTGGCCCCAAGGCCTCCCACCAGCATAGCAGAGAAGTTTTTGAGCATGTGGTTGTTTGGAATTTTTTTAATAAAATGGATTTTTTATTTCAAATATTTGTAACTGAAAAAATAATTCAATTTAAAGATCGATTCTCTCCCCCATTAACTTGTCACTTTTATCCTTTTCCAGTTGAAAACTTGCTCTGGATCTGATGCCCCAACACCATCCAGTTCTGATGGTGCTGATCACCCCTCGCCGTTTGCTGCATAGTGGAAGAGGGAGAGTGCGTGCTAGTCAAATACACATTACAAACAAGTAGTGGTTACAGCAGAAAGATTCAGGATTACATTCAAGGTAGAGGCAGAACATCAGACTTCGTTTTTCCCAATGGGTGCAAAAATGTATGTCCAGGGGAATACCTCTTCTGACAAAGAACTATTGAACTATTATTCAAACAAATAATAGTAAGAAAGCAGAGAACTGGGCAAGCCTGCTCTGGGCACTGCTTGGGGAAAAGACTTTCTAACATTTCCTGGGCTGAGGCACCATCTTCCCCTCTGCCCTCAGGCACAGGGTTATCACTTGCTCTCCTGGCAGAAGCCCCTTGTGCAGAGAGGCTCTGGCAGGTCAGCTGGATTCCTCCAGAGATGAGGTCATGGTTCTGTATCGTCTGGGCTCCTTGAGGTTTTTCAGCCCATCGGCCAATCCAAGTGTGTTGGGCAAAGTCAGGGGCACTAATTTCCTACAGTTTCACACCTGCAGGACAGGTGGATGGGTAAAGGTGAAAGGGAGCACCCGTATGCTCAGTCTTTTCACCAGCAACCCCAGGGGAGAGGTAAATTGGTAACAGGCCAGGACTGCAGCTGGAGCACTCCTACCTTCCTCTAGGAGCTCATTGCACTTTGATAATTTCATTATTTACTGGTTGCAGCTTTGTAATTATTTGTATGAAGGAAATCACACAGCTGTTTTTTGTGAGGGCTACTGCAACTGGGGGCTAAAAGAACCTCATTTTGCTTGAGAGTTTGACAAACAGGCAGCCTCACTTTTTCCCCTTAGCATTTCAGAGATCCTCCCAACCTCACCCATACTTGCCCTCCTAAGAAAACCCTTGCCTCCTGCACCCACCTGGTCCCATGGCTGGGCAGCCACCCTCAGGGGGAGCTGGTGGGAGCTCTGCAAGGCAATTCTAATGTACTCACTGCTCCCAGCCAGCACCAGGGCTGCACCAGGAGAGAATTTAGGGAGGGCTCAGGGGAGTGAAGGGGTGCCCACCAGTCTCTGTTATTCTGACTTTTAGGATGTGATGCTGTAGCTTGAACAACAGAAAGCCTAGGGGGAAGGGGGACAGTGTCCTCCCCAGCCCAGACACTGAGGGAGGCAGATAAGAGGCTCTGACTTGCTTACAACTCGGGGAGGGGGGGGTAGAGGAGAGAGAAAGGGGCAGAAAGGAAGGAAGCTGCCAGCAGGCTCCCCCTGCAAATGATTAAGAAAGTGGCTCCCCATGCAGTTAACAAGCAAATAGGGCTCAGGAAAGCAGGAGTTTCTCCCAGCTCAAACAGACATGACTACAGCCAGCTGCCAGTTTAATGGCTGAGGGAGAGCACATCATGCAGGGCTGGCATTCACCTGCTCCTCCATGGAGCAGAAGTACCAACACTCCTGTGGCCCAGCCTCCCCTGAGAAGAGACCCATGTACCAAAGGTGCAGGGGAGCAGCATGTGGCTGCTCACAGCTACCCCTCCCCAGCAGGAAGCATTGCAGCCCAGTGCAAGGGAAAGATGTGACAGCATCCTCAAGCAGATATTGAGGATGGTGGCTGATCCTTTCATTGCCTGAGCAGGGTCAGTACCTCGGTGTGTATGATTTCAGAAGCTATGGCTTCCCCCACCTCACTGAGCCAGAGCAGCCTGGACCCAGCTTAGTGCCAAAGCTGGGACAGCTGTGCAGTGAGGTGGCTGCATGGGGCCACCTAAGCCATGTCCCACCTGCTCAGTATGGCCATGAGCCACTACTAACACAGGAATTTAACTATTCCCTGCACAAGGAATAGTATCATCATGGCTCTGGGGGGCTTGGGGTGCTTGTCCACCCACTCCTCATTCAGCAGTTACCCTGAGGCACCAGCCCGGGGCCCTGCAGGGACACAGGGCATCAGCTCACACTAAGATGCCATTTACTTTTGCCTTTTACCCCATGGGACAGGAGGAAAGGAAGAGCAGAGGTCAGCTGTCCAGTACTTGCTTTTAGGCCTGCACTTCTCCCCAGAAAGGGGCCCTCACAGTTGCACTACTGAGCCAGGACCTGTGCCATGCCATACAACCCCCCTTTTGCAGTGCCACTTCCCCTTTCTCACCTACTGGGTCTGACATCTATCCCCAGCTGCTTCTTTCCCCTGGGGTACCTGCTACAGTGAGGTACCAACACAGCAAAGGCAGGAGAACAGATTGCACGTGGCCCCCAATGATATGTTGCTTATTGCCAGCTGTGCCCCTTACCAGCTCCCCAGGGCACGCAGGCGCTTTCTTGTCCCTACCCCTGCCACAGCCTGACTGCCCTGCTCACCTGGGGATGTCACAAGTGCTGTGGAAGCTGGGGGCAATGGGGTGTGACTGACAGCGGTTTTAACATATAAAGACCTCATTTTAGCACCTTAAAAATCTGTTTTGCAGCCCAAGGTGAGTGAAGCAAGCAGGCAGTCAGGCCTCTGCAAAGCTCAGCAATATTTGGGAAACCAGCTTAGACATTACCAGGTTGGTGGGTCACCCTGGTTCCCTTTGGCTACATTTAGAAAAGGTGCCTGTTCTGCCCAGCTCCTCACAGCCCTGTGGCAGATCAGACCCTCCTCTGACAGACAGCAGATGGTGCAGAGGGCAGCCACTCCAGATCCCCAGCCAGCTCTCCTGCTTTTGTGTCCTGTTCCAGAGGTAGGATCCCCTTCCTCAGCCGTTAAGATCAACCGTTAAGACCAACCATGCTGGGGCAGCACAACCCCCTTCATCTGCCAATCCCAGAAAGGTGCAGAGTGCTGCTTCTGGAAACAGCTCAGGCCCAGCTCTGTCCCATGTGAGGGAACTCATTCCTGGCTGCAATGCACTGCCATCACTGCTCCTGCCTGGAGGAGGAGGGGCTGCTGGCTCTGCTCTCACCTGGGCTGGGTCAGGCTGCA